ATCAAAGTTTTAATGGCACCTACACCTTTGGTGTAAAGGTTATAGAGAATATCATGCAGATCTGAATTATATAGACATTAAGTTTCTGAACAGCCAGTCAATAAATACACCAATAGACTAATTAAAGATGTACTGCTTTGCACATCATTGAGGTCAGTTAAACCCCACGGAGATGTTTTCCATAATCAGATATGCAAACTCAGATCTCCCTAAGTGATTAAATCAAGTTGACAAACTCTGCGCTGACAGACTGAACGCAGCTGATTCCTGACGCTGAGGATCAGTCGGGGGATATTCAAAACCCCCCGGCATCAACGTCTCTGACAAATTTAGGGCAGTTTGAGGTTCCCCCACGGACTCCAGAGACCTAAACCTCGTGAAGGACTCGGGGAAGCAGTGTGCAGACGTGTGGTCTGTTTGTGTGCAGGAAAGGGAGGAAGGACAGTAATGAGAGACACAGGAAGGAAGGTACAGCATACGTCTATGTGTTTCTAAGAATTGAAATAACATACAAAAGACATTAAAGACTTGGAGACACTGACTGGGGGAAAAGGAAAACACTAACTTAGAAGAAGAGCTAAAAGTTAAAAATAAAAAAGGCGCTCCATCCAGTGCCCCTCTGCTACAAAGGTATCTCTGTCATCACTCCCTTACCTTAAACACCTGACATATTCTTCCTCTTTAAGGTTCATAAACCTAAAGTATCCAAATCCAAAGTTTAAATCAATTACAAAAAACAAAAAAAAGACATCCAGCAATGTCCCAGTTTCTGCTTCGGAGTCCATATGAAAAAAAAAACTGCCCTAAATTTGTGCCCCTCTGGAGACAATTTACACTTCAAACCTGAAGGTTTGCCGGTAAGTCCTTTCGGGGAGTAAAAGACGAAATAGAGGCGTAGCGAAGCTTTCATGGTACAACACGCTGAGCGGCTTCAGCTTGTGGTGGCACCAAAGCTCAGGGGGCTGAATACAAAGCCATGTGGAGTGCCACGCATGTCTACAATGACACATCATCAAAACTCTGCAGCATTTGGGCTGCCCGTTATTTTCTGTGCAGGTTTCCAAATTCTTCTGGAAGGAAGGGAGAGTGAGATGCTGGTACAGATTTATGGCACGAGGTTGGAGAGGGAACAACACGACACTGGGCTTTGTCACTACAGGGAGGGTTTGTTTTTTGTTTTAGTCGTTACTTTGAAAACGGTCTCTGCGGGGTCACTTACACGGTGATGCGGGCGAGGAGAGTCCGCCGTCTGGGGGCGTGCTGTTGGGTTTAGAGTCGGACATGGGGAGGGGCACTGGGCGGGCCACTGGGGGAGGTGGAGGCAGCAAGAAGGAGCCTGGCATTTTGCTCTGGCCGCTCCCGTTCGGCTGCGGACAACACAAATAGGATCAAGAGGGCGGCATGCGACAACCCGCAGACACGGAATGGACAAGGGGAGCGGCTGGAGGAGGCCGGGCCCAAAATAAACAATTTCATGACGGAAGAAAAGAACGGGAGTGTAAAAAAAAAAAAAAAACTAAACGAATGAAGTATGCGGACGCCATCTTTGATGAAGGTGTGAGAAAATAAAAGTCACCACAAGAAGTGATTTGGATCGGGACCAGGTTCCATCGAGGTGATCCGTGTGGGGTGAAAGGAGTGGGTGGGGGAGGGGAGTGAGAGAACCAGTTGACTGGACTCATCCAGCAGATGACAAAAAATAAAACCATGGCAGAACACTCGTCTACACAATCACAACAACACCACCAACGATACCAAATCCCAAACAACCAAAAAAACTGAACAACTGAAATCGGAACAGCTATAGAGATGAAAACAGACACAATGACACAACACAGGACTGGCGTGTTTGACTTGAAGCGTGCCGTGACTGATTGACTCGTGCTGATGGCTGTAACTTTGGAGGGGTCAGGTGAAGCAATAGAAAGAAAACAACGAGAGGAGAAGCAGAAAACGTTGGGGGTCTGGAACAAGAAACAGCAAAATGACACTGACGAGACAATACAGAGATTTCTAGACCAGCTGGCTGCGTATGTGACTAGTGTGATGCATTTGTGGGTGTGTCTCTTGTGCTGTTAGTCCTGGGGTCACATTAAAAGAAAGAAGCAGTCTGTGGTCAAAGTAATCTAAATATGAAAACCACTTTCAGGTTATAACCACAGACTTATTCTATTGGGATTTCATGCGACAGAACACAAAGCAGTGCTTAAAAAGTACATTCAGCCTTGTTTACTATAAACCCCTTAAATAAAACCCAGAAATGTATTCAGTTATTACCTAATCCATAATTTGTGATCATCTGTTTTGTTATGTAAAAAAAAAAAAAAAAAGTATAGTACATCCCTTTATTGTGCCACAATGGGGAGATTCACTATCTGCATTTGGTCCATCTCCTTGGGAAACATGGCTGCCATTGTGTGGCGCCCAGGGAGCAGTGTGGGGTTAAGGGTTTTGCTCAGGAACCAAGAGTGGCAGTCTGTAGGGATCGAACAGAGAACTTGCAACCTTCCCAGAGCACAAGTACACTGCTCTAACCCAGTAGGCCAACACTCCCCTTTTGAATTTAATCTCAGTATAAATCCAGTTTTTATGTGAAGGCCTCACAGTGCTGTTCAAGATTCTTAGTCATCCAGGTCATAGTCATTCCAAAAAAGTAAAAAAAACAATCCACTGCAGTTTGTTTCCAAGTTTGAAGACATTTCCTTTCCCATCCAGGAAGCGTTTTCAATTCAAAATGTCAGAAATAGCCTTGAGTTTGAGGCTGTATATAGTAGCCCAACAAGCCCTTGTTTTCTAGAAAACATGCAACCTGAAACGGACGGCGGTACACCCACTGGAATGGGGGTCTTTTGGCTTCTTTTGTTAGCCTGCAAAGACCCATACCTCGAACTCAACGCTATTCCTGACATTTTGAATTGAAAAAAGCTTCCTGGATGATGCGAAACATCTTCAAACTTGGAAACAAAGTCCAGTGGATTCTTTTTTTAACTTTTTTGCAAGGCCTCAGAGGTTTGCTAGAACATCAGTGAACCAACAGCCTCATGAAGACTGAGGTTGGGTTTAAATCCCACCGAGCACTTATCTACCTTTCATGTGAAAAGTGAAGCTTTCACCAGGGAGGCAGTAAACCGTCCAATGGTAGGTCTAGTGGAGCTACAGAGACCAGCAGTGTGAGTAGGGCAGGGGTTATGAAAGTGGTTCCAGAAAGGGCCGTGTGGCTGCTGGTTTTCTTTCCACCCAAGCAGTAGCACACCACACTCCATTCATCCCATCAAGTCATCAGGTTAAGACTAGACTCACCTTGATGAGATGAATGGAGTCTGGTGTGCAAAGAAAACCAGCAGCCACACGGCCCTTTCAGGAACTAGTTTGATGCCTGTGGAGTAGGGCAAACTGTTGACAGAGCAACTTTCATTGATGCCCTCATCAATATGGCCATAAGAAAGATATAATTGAAAGAAAGTAACTTCCATTGGCCTCAAGCTTCTTAAGAGGATACAGCCCACCATGGACGTAATTTTTGGGCTGGACGGGGGGGACTTTTTCAGTCCTCCTCACCACTAGTTATAACTGAGGAAGCCTCTTGGATGAGAGGCGAAACATCTTCTAGAAAAACTTCATGTCCAGTTGCCTAGAATGAACTTTTCAAGCTTCACTCTGACCTGGATGATTGAGAGTCTTCGCAGATATGTACAGCCTGGTTTTAGAAAGCTAGGGTTAACTCTAGGTCATTGGTCCACTACCAGGACAACGGCTACAACGTACTGCAAAAAGCTTCTAGAAACAGACAGACACAAAGAGCTGGCAGTCTGAACATGGCTAGCAATGAGTCTGAATCTAAAACTCAATGAAAACTATATAATCCCTGCTGGAAGAAGAAGGCATCCTTTAACTATTAGAGACCAACAGAAGAATGGTTTAAAATCCCAGCTAAGAGATGTTTGTTAACAGTTATAGGACTTGGGGAGGCCTGATCCCCCCCAAAATAGGCCTTAAGACGTCCATGGCTGGTAATAAAAATTCACACAAAAACTAAAGGGCAGAACTCTCAAATGCACTTTTTCAAAGGTCCGTTTTGGTCCCCTGCACTTTTTACTGTCTAAAAACGATGGTACGCTACAGTACACAGATATTAGTCGAGCACCAGGACCAAGTGGAAAACCGCAGCTCAAACTAAAGCCTGCTTTCCTTAGTTTAGACCACCCACAAGCTCCTGATTGGCCCACCGTCTTTTCTTGTGTGATTGGCTGTCGCAGCTTTCACTCTTGAAAAGCTCACTTTACAAATATCTGATGTGCCACAGAATCTGGTCTGTGATTGGATGATCAAACATGCTGAAGTAAGTTATATAAAAAAAATACTTGCGCCCCCCCTTTTTTATACCTACAGTTTCGTCCATGCAGCAGACTAAGAAGAAAGTAGTCTTGTTAGATGAAAAACACTAAGCTTGGAAGAAAATGAAAGCTTTTTTTCTCTAAACCCAGTGATGGTGGAAACGTGCTCTTTGCTCAGCTGAGATTAGTGATCCGATTAACGACGGTGTGGAGAAGAAAACAGCTAAAATGGAACCCTAAAGATAAAGAAGCTGAACTACTATGTTTGATCAAAGTATGTTCACGTGTTAGAATGGATCAGTCAAAGGCTAGATCTTAATCTATCTATATAATGGAGCCTAGGCAGAAGTTTAACTGAATAAACTGATTACTCGCCTTCATCCACCTACGACACCAGCCAATCAGCTCTGAACCACGCCTCCACAAAAGCCAATCACCATCCAAAGTTCATCTTAAAAAGCCTCCGATCCGCAACTCGCCTGCTACCTGATGACGCTGCCTGTGTCGGACTTCGATTCAGATGTCCCCGTTTCAACCCACCTCCAGCCCTTCCTCCACCATCGTCGCTAAAACTTCGTCAGTTTCATTCCTCCCGGACTCTCTATTTTAATCGGTCCGGCAGAAGACTGCCATGTTGAATCTGTTTCTGCCAGAGGTTTTTTCGCAATGGGTGTTTTTCCTCTCCACTGCCGCTTCATGCTTGCTCATCATGGACAGGTTCTCTCAACCTGTGTTATCCAAGCTGGACTTCCATCTTCCAGGTCCCTGAGCGAAGCTCTTGTATCAGCTCACACAGTCCACTGGATCTCCCCATAAAGCTCAGCAGACCGTCTCGCTAACCAGCAGTCTACAGACTGACCAGCTTCATCTATATCCACTCCACCACCAGTTTCAGGCCTGGGGGGCAAACAGCCCTGTTCTTTGCTCCTGTTCATGCATATCTATCAAAATTCAAACCTATGTTTCCTGCCGATGTCAAAAATCAATAATTGTATCAATAAATTTCTTCTAATTGTCTTTTCTCTCTGTGTGAGTTTTTCAGATTGAACTGTATATACCTAAAAATATTTGAACTCTGTATTTGTGGATGCTCTCCATTCAGTTTGGTCTACCAACATGCAAATCTGGTACAGACAACGAACTGCAGCTATAAATGCAGAAAAAATGCTTCAATAAGCGTTCAATTATGAATACATGTTACACCTTTGTTGCTGTTGGTCTATCAGATAAAATCCCAATAAAATAATTGTAAAACTGTGGCGTTAACCTATTTCTGTACTACAAATTTACACTATTATACACTAATATAGTAGGTAAATGTCAAGCAAGCTAAACACTTTTTTTATGGAAGCAAAAGTTTGTAGAAGTAGCATTCTGTTCCATTCTTTTTCCACTAACATGCTCTATTTTCTGCTTTTAGATTCCATGTTTTGTAATATTGTTTTTTTTAATCATATTTTCTCTGTCTGAGGCTCCTGCTTTACGGAGCAGCTTCCCTCCTCACTGTTGGAGAGCCTTACCTGTCCGGAGGCCTGCCCTGAGCCATCAGCACAGACGAACTGCACAAACTCCTTCAGGGGGTCCTGTCCAGGGTGGTGGTGGTAGCGTATGGTGGGGTGGGTGAAGTAAGGGCTAGACTGCTGGATGATGGAGGGGGATGGGAAGTGTAGGGCCGAGGCTGAAGCCCGGGGACTCCCTGTGAACACAGACGTTTGTGTTAGACGGACACAGGCTGGACAGGATTAAAAAAGGGGGTTGAGAAAAGAAGATTCTTCAAATGAAAAGGACAGTTTAGGTAATAAATGAGTGACAGAAAGAGTAAAACAAACAATAAGATTTAAGCATTTTAAAAAATATATTTGCTTATGTTACATAAACAATCCCATGAATACATACAAGACAACATTAAGAGTTCTTTAGGTATATTAAGTCCACAGTTACAGGCTGCAGTCACACTTCAGCAAAATCAACTTCAACATATCCAACTTCTCAAACAAAATCAACTGTAATCATGAGGAATTATAACAAAATCATTTGCCTTTTACCAGTGAATTCTCTTTGCACACAATAAAGCTGAATAGATGTATGTTGCAGTGATTTCCCACGCTGTAGGAGACCTCAGCCTCTCCAGTAGCTCTCTAGTTTCTACTCTTTGTTCACTATTTTTTAACTTTTTTCAGCTCATTTTTACCTTTTAATTTATTCTACTGTAAGATTTTATCTTTTTATTGAACATGCAACACGGAGCTGGTTGCATTAGCTATTGTCACTCATGTGCAATACTCTTCTCTCTCATTGTGCAATAACCCATGCCAACTACTGTGTAGCCTGTTTAATTGATTACTTATTTATAAGGTCAGTACATCTCTGCAGAACAAGTGCAACAATCCATGTCAACTACTGTGTAGTCTGTATAATTGATACTTATTTATATGGCCAGGATATTTCTGCAGTGCAAGTGCAATAACCCAAGTCAACTACTATATGGTCATCCCTTAGCTTTCTACTGTGCAGATATTTTTATATTTAAGGGAAACATATTCACGGACATTACAACTTCTTCCTTTTTTTATACTTTTTTATACTTTTTTTGTACTATATTACTAGTGTTGCGCCGATGCCATTTTTTTTGGCCCCGATACCTGATACCATTGATGTCAGTGTGTATGTATCAATGTATCAATCAATGTATCAATGAAGTATGTATCTACTTGGATGTAAAGTAATTGCCATTGTAGCTTTGTCAAGCTTACTTTAACAACCAGCTGATTTCAACATTATCTGATCAACTCTTAACCCTGTTAAATTAGACAATGTAGTAGTAATGTAAATTGGGGGGCACTGGGACCCTGTTCAACCTGCATGCCGCCTGTCACTAAAGCCGGGCATACAATGTGAGCTTTTCAATCGTTGCATGCAGCTACAGCTCACACTGTAAGACGAAACCCTGCAGATTTTGTCGTACACTGTATGCTACAGTATGCTTCACACTTCATGATGTATGTTCTCATTCTGTGAGACCCGACGCTCTGATGCGATCTACCTGCTCAAACTGTACGTCTAAAAACCAGGTGGAACTACGCAGTGATATGGCGCTACTAGGACTTGTCTATCCCGGAAGCCAAACGAGTAGAAGAGGAATATGAAGCCCACTAGAGTGAAACGCGCTGCTTGACAATTTGTGCAATTTTGTGCTGAAAGCCCTAAAAAGAAAAGGCGAAAACGTATTTAGACAAAGACATGGCTGAGCAAACATGGCTACTAGGGTCTGTTAGTTTTACAGAAAGAACTCCATTTCACTCGTACCCCCGCCATGCTTCTGTGTTTTCGTCTGAGAGGAAGAAGAAGAAGAATCCTTGTTTGTGCGCTGAGCGATTTGCCCACGACGGTCTACTGAAAATCAAACACGTTTGATTATCTGTCGACCTCAGGATTGCTGATCGGGAGGTGATCTTGAGAGGCTGATCGCCCCTCGTTACCCCCTGTTCGCTGCACGACGCACAATCAGGTTGAAAGTCGGCCCGAAAAGGGCAAAAAATCTTACAGTTTATGCCCAGCTTAACCGGAGAGCTGCTCTGCTGCTGGCAGTTGGGATTGCATAAAACTGAAGAAAAAACCAACATATCTTCATTTTAGTTATCGGAAAAGAATTTGCAGCTCCGTGTGTTTTCTTTCCCATGGAAAGTTGCTCCATGTGGCTCTTTGGGTATTAAACGTTGTAAGATCCTGGGCTAGTTTTCACCAAACCTCCACAGTCAATCTTATTAGGCATAGTTGTAACATTAAACTGTATATCACTGTAAACAGCATAACTTGATAAACCTTAATGATGACCAACTTATATAGAATAACAAATGACCATTTTACATCATAAAATTAGTTAAATCTCCAAAGGGGCACATTTTGCCAATAAAAATCTGCTCAGGGCCCAGCTAAAGTGATTTTGGCCGTTTGTCGCGCATACACTAAGGCATCTTACCTGGGGCTTAACCCACCTGATATAGGATAGTACAGACACTCCTGTTACCAGCAATATCTCTTTTTTTTTCATTCTTTCCACCATAAAGAAAATATTTGCTGGCATAGGCCTTTATTTTCACTTTAAACTGTACAAGACTCTTTCCAGTGTCTCTAAAAAGTTTTCACAACCTTTGCAAATTCTAGATTGATCAAATCAAACTAGCTTCACATTAAATTTGTCATAGATGTTGCATAATATAAGCTAAAAAAAAGTTAGTTTTAGGAGAAAAAGGTAAAGGAAAGAGGTAGTGGCATGGCCTGGATCACAAGTTCAGTTTTTGAATTAGCCACACTGGAAAAAATATATATCTAGATAAGTCATTTTGTCTTAAAATAATTGCATTTGTTCTTGAATTGATGATGTAAAATTGACATTTTGCCAATGGAACAAGACAATTTACATTTAAATTAAGAGCAAATTATCTAATTATCTTATTTTAAGAGTAAAAATGCTCATTCCATTGGCAAACTATCTCATTTACCTACTTGAATCAAGGGTAAATACACTTTAAGAAATATTTATTTCAAGATTGTTTTTCCAGTGCCGAGCTTCTGGTTTAAAAACCATTACAGACGGTTTGTAAAGAATTTCACTGTACAAAGACAAAAATAGTTTAAATTACAGGTTTTTATAAACGGGTTTATTTCTTTGTGACGATTGGAACAACCAAAAAGCAGTAAACGTTTTACACAAAACTACAGATAAGAGCCATATATACTAAAAGAAACAAGTTCTTAAATAGATGGAGACCCCTTAAAAAACCCCAACTATAATAATTTACTTCCTGTAACCGTTAACAAGCTCCTAACATCTCTTTGTTGGGCTTTAATAGTTAAAGGATAGTTTTCAATGAGTTTTAGATTCAGACTCATTGCTAGCCATGTTCAGCTGCCATCTCTTTGTGTCTGTCTGTTTCTAGAAGCTTTTTGCAGTACGTTGTAGCCGTTGTCTTGGTAGTGGACCAATGACCTAGAGTTAACCCTAGCTTTCCAACACCAGGCGGTACATATCTGGGAAGACTCTCAATCATCCAGGTCAGAGTGAAACTTGAAAAAAAACAGTCTAGGCAACTGGACATGAAGTTTTTCTAGAAGACGTTTCGCCTCTCATCCAAGAGGCTACCTCAGTTCTAACTAGTGGTGGGGAGCACTGAGATTAATATACTGTAGTTGGAACAAAAGGTAGGTCTGAGCCCGCCTACTGGATTGGCCATGGAGGTCACCTGAGTGGTTAATGGTGGTTAGGGGTTACTGATTGGTCGTTAACTGCCTCGTCAGAGTGGTTTCTGTCACATGACTCATTGAAGGCAGGAGAGGGCAGGAGGGCAGGAGAGAGGTAAATTTTGTGGGTATTGTTCCTAAATATGCTTTGTAAGTAGGTGAAAGTTTATGTCTAAGACCACCTCCTCTGTTAAGAGATTCTTTTTCCGGGTTAAAAAAGATGGCTTTCTTAACCCATTTCTCAAATCATCTCTCTTCCTCGTAGATGAGGGGCTACATTGCGACCTGAAATCCTTGGATGTCATTAAACCTTGCACATAATGAAGGGACCCAAAGCCGGCGGAGACAAGAAATCCCCAAAACATCTTTGAACATCCACCATATCTGACTGTAGAGCACAGGAGAGCTGCGCCCTGAGGTGACAGGAAGTGTATTTGCTCACCACCTCCCGCCACAGTGCAGAGGTTCGCGGATGATTGACGGGTTGAGTCGCGGGAGTTGGAAACGCATTGGAGAGAGAGAGCGAAATGGTGCAAGAAACGTCCTTTTCCAGGACCTTGTTTAGCTACAAGGCTTGGCTACCTGCATGCAGCGAGGCTAACTCTTTATTCTGCTTTCCCTGCCTCCTTTCTCAAACATCCAGATCTGACCCAGCATGGATAAAGACAGCAAGGACTGATGTAAAACACTTTGTAGAAAAGGCAAAGAAGAACAATCTGGGATTCACATAGAAAAGAATATAATATAGTGTACTTTTTCCAGTTGTTTGTAAATTTGTATAGCTGCTCTTAAATAAACACATCTTCAGAAAATAGTTTATATATAAAAAAAAAAAATGTAAGCTGACTAATAGCTTCTCCATTATTAAACTGGTGCATTATCTTTTTTTAGGTCAGAAGAGCAACATTTATGTAGAAAAAATAAACCTGTAAATGAAATCTTGTTTTGATTTTATGAAATCTTTTTATAATGTTTTTTGTTGTTGGCATTCATATAAATATACTGGTGTGATAACTTAATATACGTTTGACTGGTTTTATGTATACGTCTATTTTGAATTTCTAGCCGTTTATGGAAAGCAGTGATCTGATGTGCTTTACTAAATAACTCTTTCTATAGGTTTTATCTTTTCTAGAAGAGTTTAGCTAACTAATGGAGATTTTGACAAACTGCCGTCAATCTTTTTCACATTTCAATGAAATGGCGTCAGGCAGTTTCTCACCAACACTGATTCACCCTGAGCTGGAAGGATGGCTAAGCTATACGGACTGTCCTGTGTTGCTATCCAAGGTCAAGGTTTCTCCTCCGTTCACCCAGCGGGATTGGCTATAGTGCCACTGGCTGTAAACTTCTTGATTATGCTTTCCACTCTAGACCAAAGAATGTTAAGATCTCTGATGATGGATTGTTGATGTTTTTCCACTATCTTGGTTCTCAGGTCCTCAGAAAATTCTC